CCTGAGCCCCCTGGCATAAACCGTGGCAACAGCTGAAGCAGGTATATGCACTTTCTGTTTTCCTACCACGTGGGCTGTAGACACTTTTCTGGCAAGTTCTGCCCCCTGCATTTGATGGAATGCGTCTCTCCAATCAGAATCCAGCACCCCCTGTAGAGCTGTGTCAAACTCTGACATTACCATCTGTCGACACCTTTTTGCGATATTCATCCCAATAATGCCAGGTGGAGATGGATCTGCTCGCTTGGTATTATCGTTTCGGATTATTAAGAACCCACACTCTGGAATGTTGAATCCCATCACCTGTACATCTAACTCAACATAGCCTAAATAGGGAAGAGGTAACTGATTGGCTGCTGTGATTTTAAGCCATTTAGCTGTACAATGCATGTCTTCATCTTCCCCATGCAGGTGATCTCTGAAAAAGTTTTCTGTCAAAGTGCTTACATTGCTACCTGTGTCCAGTAGGCACCTAAGCGGAACACCACCAATCTGGATGTCTACCTCCGGGCACTTGCCTACAGCATGTTGTAGAAACCGTTCTTTGGTGAGGATATCCTGTGAGCCTTTCGACTTGCCTCGCATTGCGCAGCTCATTGCAATGGAGGGTTCCTGTTTCCCTGAACCGCAGGATTGGGGTGAAGGTTAGAAGATCCTCCTGCATCACGTTGTCGATTGCAGTGTCTCGCCATGTGCCCAACCCCCTCACGTCGCAGACAAATCGGCTGTCCATCATCTGTATACTTTGGCTTGATTTTAAATCGAACCTCCTTGGTTCCCCTCTCTGAACTAGCATGGTGGATTGTGAGATCACGGACTGCATTGGTTAGCTCACATATTGCTTTACCCTGCTGCGCAATTATTTTAACTACGTCCTGCAAAGTGGTGGTTAGGTCCGTCTGTGCCTTATCGGCCATATCTGTCCCTGCTGCAACCTCGTCTGGGTCGCCGCCCACAAGCTTTCGGCTCCTCACCACATTAGTACTATGAGGCCGGTCTTCAAGTGTCCACATCATTGCCTCTTCTCGCACATCAAACAGGCTTAGGCCAGGCTTCTCCCTAATAAGCCGACGCAACTCACGTCGAAGGGTGGAGTCACGTACCCCTTCAATTAACTGGTCTCTAAGTGCTAACTGTACATCAACTACAGCGTTGGGGGACTGTTGAAGAGCAGAATTAAGCAGATGTGAGAGCGCATGTGAAAAATCCCGCAAGTCTTCCCCGTCTAACTGCCTGCGCGCATAGAAAGCATGCAAGAGTTGTGGTGTAGTACGTCTCTCTCTGAATGCCTCCCTCAGGTATGAAAACAGATCACTGGATTGCTTAACCTGTCCACCCACACGTAACTTAACCTCCTCCAGAGCTGACCCCTTTAACTGCGAGAAAATGAAATCCACCTGCTCCTCCCCCTGTAGGCCCCTTGCTCTCATCGTACGCTCTACCTCCTCTATGAACTCATCAACAGTGTGAACGTCTTTCCCTGGTTCACCACTAAAAGGCACAATTTGTTTTTCTCTCGGAATGTAAACAATGGACCTCGGTTGGGCATCACCAAGGTTGGCAATACTTGACATCACAGCAAAATCCAAAATCTGTGCCTGCAGTTGTACCACAAGGTTACCTCCCTGGTCTCCCATGGAGGCAGCCAGATTGTCCTCATGGCAGCTGGACCCGGCCGTTGGAGCAGCTGCCCTCTCTTCCTCGTCCGACATTTCAACGTGTCCCCTTCTGTGTCCTCACTACAGCAAGATGACAGTTGTGACGCTTCTCACTCCAATCCCGATGGTCCTCTCTTCCCGCAGTCTACAGCAACGATGCAGTCTCCCTCGTCGAGGAGCACTGGTCACCCTGCTGCTTCTGGGACCCCTCACCAGTAGTCACCCACTCTGATCCTGGATCTGGAGGCTCCTTAGCCACTACTGTTGTTTTTATATGTATTATCTCTGTCCGACTATGATCTCCAAATTTGCCGGGGATCCCACTTCTGACACCAAAATTAGTGTCGCCTGATTAAAATGATGACAGGACACTAAGATAAATTTATTTCTCTTTAATGTGGGTTCTTTATTTCCCCCGACTGCACTCCTGGAGCACAGCCTTAATGTGTCAAATTAAGGAGGCACTTGGAACAGTGTACAAATAACCAATTGCTTCGCTTCACTAACTAATAGGATGTCATGGAATAGAGCTAACGATTACCTTAAGCTAGAAATTACGTGAAGCTAACAGTTACATACAAAAAAAACAACAGTAGTGACCCCTTCCTGTTAAACAGAAACAAAAACATGCACATTGGTCTCATGCTGTTCAAATCCCACACCATTGTCGTTCCTCCAAAAAGTCCCGAAAACAAACTCACTCAAGCGCCGGCGGGCACGGCTCCATGCACGTGCAACCTCAACCCACAGCAGCTTGTTACTCCCCTCTAAACGAAGCAGAGGTGCACAACCCAAGAACATACACTCAGTACAGGCAATCAATCATAATTTACATGGTGAGTCAGGTTTATTAATGTGAGAACACTTACGCCGACCCGCTGAACAGGTATTTCCCTAACGCTGTTCCGATGCTAACCGCTAACACTGTGTCGTGTTAGTAGCCACTAGGTCCCGCTCTGCAGCTCCAAATCCCACGTGAACTCATGCCCATGTACTTAAAGGGGCAGTACGCCCTCACCCTCTGTGCGGACCATCTAGCAGTCCAAAAACCTCCCTGCCCCCACTTCACCCGGCTACATAAGTAAAATAATTGAGAAAGTTGTCCTACAACAACTTAATCACTTCCTGGCTTCAACTGGCTGCCACGACAATTTCCAGTCAAGATTTCGACCTCTTCATAGTACCGAGACGGCCCTTATTAAAGTTGTAAATGACATCCGTCTTAACACAGACTCTGGCAAAACTTCAATATTAATGCTATTAGACTTCAGTGCTGCATTTGATACTGTCGACCACTCAATACTTTTGGACAGGTTGGAAAACTGGGTGGGGCTCTCAGGCACAGTCTTAAGCTGGTTCAGGTCATATCTACAAGACAGGAACTATTTTGTTTCCATTGGTGACTTCGTATCAGAAACAACCGACGTAACATGTGGAGTCCCCCAAGGTTCGATCTTAGGGCCAACTTTATTCAACATCTACATGCTCCCACTAGGACAAATCATGCAAAAAAATAGCGCTATCACCAAACGACTCAAGCAAATCAAAGACTGGATGTGTCAAAATTTCCTACAACTAAATGAAGACAAAACTGAGATCATTGTATTTGGTGCTAAAAAAGAAAGGTTTAAAGTAACCCAACACCTTCACTCTCTGTCCCTGAAAACATCAAATAAAGCCAGAAATCTGGGGGTTATTATGGAGTTACACTTGGAGAGTCACATCAAATCAGTAACAAAATCGGCCTACTACCACCTCAAAAATGTAGCACGACTTAGAGGGCTCATTGCAGCTCAAGACTTAGAAACACTTGTACATGCCTTTATAACTAGTAGGCTAGACTATTGTAATGGTCTCCTTGCAGGTCTTCCAAAAAAAACTGTCAGGCAGCTCCAGCTTGTTCAGAACGCTGCTGCTAGAGTTCTAACAAAGACCAAAAAATGTGAGCACATTACACCAATTCTTAAATCCTTACATCGGCTCCCAGTATGTCAGAGAATTAATTTCAAAATCCTACTGCTCACATATAAATCACTACATGGTTTTGGGCCAAAGTATATCACTGATATGTTACCACTACATAAGCCTTCAAGATCACTAAGATCTTCTGACACTAATCTGTTAGTGATTCCCAGAGTAAATACAAATCATGGGAAAGCATAATTTAGTTACTACGCAACAAACACCTGGAATAAACTTCCTGAAGATTTAAGACTTGCCCCAACTCTGATCACGTTTAAAACAAGACTGAAAACTTTTATGTTCAGCTTCGCCTTCTGCTACATTTTACCTAAATTGCACTTTTAACCTCTGCCTTTAATTAAACAATTTAAATAAGATTTTAATTTATAATTTTATATGCGGTTTTTAATTGTCTTTTAATTCATGCATTTTATTTCACTTTATTGGATGAAATGTTATGATGTGAAGCACTTTGAGTCTGAAAAGCGCTATACAAATAAAATTGCCTTGCCTTGCCTTGCCATGTAGACAAAAGAAGCGATAGCGCCCCCAGCACTTCCTGTGGTACATTGCAATGCTAAATGAAAGCCGCGTCAACGTTATATATATATATATATATATATATATATATAAATATGTATATATATTAACGCCGCTTCCCAGCAGTGTCGGGACTTCAGGGTGGGTGGGGGGGCATCCAACCTCAGTATCGTACCCCTGCGTTATCCTATGGTAAGATAGGGTCCAAACTCAAAACACATAGCAAAATATATATTCATGCATGTTTAGTAAATTATTGGTCAATTCTAATGAAGTCTCTCCTGTACGGTGTTCATTTTAGGACATCCTCAGATCTCAAGTATCAAGCGAAACGGCTTCGGTCTCAGAACAACCTCCGTCGTTCTCAGACAAAACTCTGTCAAACCAAACAGCGTCATCGTCAGACAAAACTCCGTCGACCAACATCAGTTCTGTTCCATCAGTTCTGCTGAAAATGGCATTAATTGAACATATCTTACGTACGATCTAACAAATCTGATCAGTACATAGGATGTGGAATACTCAGCCAATAGGACGTAAAGAATGCCATTGTTAAGGACTATCAACAGGAAAGCTTTGATCCGGCCTAGGAAACACCCAGCCTTACAAAAGCTGAATTTCTCCAAGAGAGGAAAAGCATTTCACTCTTTGAAAACAAGCAAACCAACCGAAACAGCAGACTTGTAAAATAAGCTTTACGCAGCTTCATGCTGCTGCTGTTTGTTGTGCGTACAAAAGGATGAATACTTGGAAAGCTTCACAGAGTAGGATGTGGGAGTTTACGCAGATCTTGAGTCTGTGTGTGTGTGTTCGCGTTTGGTAAACCCCTGAACTTGATCAGATATACAACTTATTGGACCTTAACCAGCAGGGGCAATCACGTTTGTGTGTGAGTGCTAGAAGGGTCCGAGAGCTTTTTATTGACATAATCAACAAGTGCACACAAATGGTGGGTTACTGATTACAAGTGATGTTATAGTTTGTTTGTGATAAGATTGTTGCTTTAAGCACAAAGTCCTGCCAGGTATATATAGCCTTCAGCTGCTTCAACACATCCTTCCAATCCTTCAAAGGACCATAGCTGCCTTTCAGGTAAATATTTTGTCTGGTTATTCCTTTCTTATTCTGAACAAAGGCGTTTTGTAAGATGCACTGAAATATATTGTACTATTTACTGGTAATGGTTGGTAATTGTCTGTGTTGTGGTCAGAAAACCTACAAACAAGTTAACTTGGTCAAATCTGATAATAATATATCAGTTTATTTGAGACACTGTTTCTCAATTTCCCTATGATAGACAGACTATTTTGAATTCCTTGATTTGAAAGAAGTAGTTTATTTTTACTTTTGGGATATTGTGAAAGAAAATTTGTTTGATTTAAATCAGATGAAATGAACTACCTTTTCAAAAAACTAAACTTGGTGTCTCACTGCAGGTCCTTTGGTGGTTTGTTTTTCTTCTTCCTTGCATCATCTGGACATTCAGCAGCATCATGAGTGTAGAGTCCAAAAAAACATGTAAGGCTCGCTGCGGCAACCTTAAGGTCAGTGAAATGTTACCCCATCCCCAGTGTAGTGTCGGGGAATATTGGTATATTTCAATCTGTGGTTGTTTATTCAAATACTCGTAACAATGCCAAAGCCTTAAAATGTCATCATATAGCTGCTTGACTTTTACCGTATCTCTATTTATTTATCTTATCATTCCATTTGTCAGTCAGTATTATCTGTGTCTGACAAATGCCTTCCAAAAGAAGCAGTAAAATCCAGAACATTGATTTGGAAATGTAACACTTTGACACCAAAAGAGACTTTGATACTATGGAAAGATAATAAGTGCAAATGAATGTTAGAATGGCATAGAGTTAGTGCAGAGATCAGGCTCAGATAGTGCTTTTAGGACGAAAAACATGCTTGCATTAAATGTAAGATCTGTTTGTTATTGGTCAATTTGGTTGCAGTTCATTACATGCTTTCAGACAAAATGTATGTCAAATAAAAAATAGGACATCAGCAGATCACTAGCAATTAATATTGGCTGATTTATTGCACATTGATGTGGAGGAAAATTACTAGTTGAATTTTATCAGTTCTATAAACATATTTACATAATAGTCTGTCATCTTTAACTATCTTTGTGACAAGGACTCAGAAAGACACAATTAGGATATACTGTTAAAGTAAGAAAATCCTAAAAAGGACCAAATAGTTTCTAAAGATTTAACATGTTACTCAACATTATAATCTCCAGAGCCAAAACAATTGAATCAATTTAGTTGACTAGGAGGCATACTGTGTACTCTTTTTTGCCTGAGAGTAGATATAAATATTATCTAATCTGAGAATGTAAATCCTTAGATTAGAGGATGGTTTCAATCTTATCCTTTGTAATTATAGCATTGTAGAACAGTAAAGCCGTAGAATAATCCTCTCACTCAAAAATCCCAAGAAGGGCTTATTACCCAATAGTCTCAAAAATGTAGTTTCACCATTTGGAAAGCTCTAACAAACCTAATTAGATCAAATCAATTGTCTGTGAGCTCTTCTTGTTTTAGAGAATAGCAGTGTTACCCAATAGGCTATTTGTGTGTTTTGTGTTTCCAGCTCTTCCTGGTCTCTTTGGCATTTGTATACTTTTCCAAAGCCTTTGGTGGCTCCTATATGAAGAGCTCCATCACCCAGATTGAACGGCGCTTTGACATCCCCAGTTCCCTCATAGGGGTTATAGATGGCAGCTTTGAAATGGGTTTGTGTCTTCTTTCGGACTTGTTCAAAATCAGTTGTACCATGTTAATTAATGAGCCCTTGTCTTTATGCTAAGCTATGCTAGTCATCTGATGACTATAGCTTCACAATTAGCATGCAGATATCAGTCGTGGAGGAGTGGTATCCATCTAGTTATGTAATGTTAATATGCATATTTCTTTTTCCAATTATTCATTGCAGTTATTTAATTTTTCTTCTCCCCAGGTAACCTGTTGGTAATAGCATTTGTGAGCTACTTTGGGGCTAAGCTCCATCGTCCCAGGCTGATTGGTATCGGCTGTGTGATCATGGCTGCTGGATCGTACCTCACGGCTCTGCCTCACTTTTTCCAAGGACTGTTAGTATATAGTTGCCTTAATTCTTTTGATATTCAAATGACGTATACCGGTATATAGTATTGTGGATTAATAGTACCCATCATGAACTACGATCAAAATATTTGTTTTTTAGAGGCATAACTGCTATGGAATCTCAGCATTCCATATTTAACCACAATGCGAAGTCAAAAAACTGCTACATATTTTTCCGGATATTATTCGGGATATAATATGCAAATAGTATAGAATATCTGAAAATAAGTCATGATTTTGTTTATTCTAATGTACATTAGGTGGAATTAGCCGGTTTAGGGTGTCAGTAAAACCATTTGCTATTTGGAGGACAATGAGACTGATACCCAAAATGTGTATTTAGATTGTTACCACCAACATTAGTCGTCACAGCTGATCTAGTGCTTTGTGAGAAAATAGGTCTACCAGGACACAGATTTTGAAGGTGAATTTGTTGTTCTAAGTTTTTTGGGTGGGCTTCTCTTCAAAACAGTCAGAATGTTAAGAAATCATACATGACCCTGAACTGACTGACTGAAATGACTAGATCATCTGCTTCAAATATTAACTGCAAATTCCTTGACAGACTTGCAGTTAATAACCTCCATAAAATCAGCAATCAAATTTTGTAGGGCTTTTCTGGCCCCTGTTAGCCTGAGCACTGGTGCAGTTACATGTTGTTTAGTCATTCAGCCTTGAATTGGAATCTTACTGGCAACACGCGTTCACAGGGCTATTAAGAGTTAAAAGGGAAGTACAGAATGTTTGCGTGCTGCATAAAATTATTTCAATGTTGATTTAACTAAATTGATGTCTATAGGCCCTGTAGTTGTCAGAGAATCTTTCCATAGATATCATTTTTTAAACCAACAGCAACAATTTTTTTATATTTTTTCCAGGTACAAGTATGAGACCAGTGTGTCTCACAGTACAAGTATCAACAACACTGATAGCATCCTGCCCTGTCTGTCCAACCACAGCCTGGCTGAGGCAGATAAGATGCCTGATTTAGAGGCCATGACAGGTAACAAAAAGAACACAAATATGAGATATCAAATCCATTCATTTATAGGAGCAGAAGAAAGAGTTGTCAATATCATCTCCAGTTTCCTTTCACAATCAGTTTTTCACCTTCAGCTTGTGAAAAAGCAGCTGGCTCGTCTTTGTGGATCTATGTATTCTTGGGAAACATGCTCCGAGGCATTGGAGAAACTCCCATCATGCCTTTGGGTGTATCCTACCTCGATGACTTCTCCAGAGAGGAGAACACTCCTTTCTATTTAGGCAAGTTACTTTTACATCTCTCTCGTCATTGTCCTTCTATTATTGCCTTGTTGATTCTCTGTGTGCCTATAGTTTTAATTTTGGATAATTCTTAATTGCTATCGCATTAAAAGAGTAAGTAACATGTGTTTCTCTATTGCTACATTCTCCAGCCTGCATCCATACAGTGGGGATCATAGGCCCCATGTTTGGGTTTATGCTCGGATCCTACCTGGCCAAGATCTACGTGGACATCGGATCTGTGGATTTAGGTATGGGACTTGCTGAAATAAGTGACATATATGATACTCAAAACATTACTATTTGGTAATGGTTACCCATTGAGTCAGTTTCCCTTCATTGATAAGAACAATATTGAGCAATTGTCTTTGTGCAGACCCATTACACAAAACATTCAGCATAACAGAAAACCAGTCCTTCTAGTTTGTTAAGTAAATAAAGTAAAAAAAAAGGCAAATAGTTACCAATTAAAGTCTTACAAAGACCTCTGAATCTGACGTTTTATCTCATCTGGCCTCCAGACAGTGTCACCATCAACCACATGGACTCCCGCTGGGTGGGGGCCTGGTGGCTCGGCTTCATAGTAACTGGAACTGTGATCCTGCTGTCCAGTATCCCTTTCTTTTTTCTGCCCAAGTCTTTGCCCAAGCAGGGGCAAGAGGAGAGCCAGAGTAAAGGCACAGAGCTCGCCATCACGGCAGAGCAGGAGAATTTCCTGCAGGATGAAATTCAGGATCAGGAGGAGAAGCCACTTACATTCCAGGAACTGGCCAAAGGTACTATCCAAACTTTTGCATCAAATCAAAAATCAAAATCAAAATTCCAATAAGACAGTGGGCTTTGTTTTTTCTAAGATTAGGTGATTTTGAAAGACAAAACAGCAAACATGAGGTTGGGTCATCTCAAATTTCTTGACAGGATCATTTCAATGAATTTTCCAGCACTCTTATTTCTTGTTCCCCTGCTTTACTTATGAGCAGAATAACTATGTATTTCCTAAACTACCTCCAAAGTTTAAAAGACTGTGTTACTCTGGCAATAGTTTTTTTCGAATGGATGTGTTTAATCATTAATCTGGTAAAGCTCGCAGGCCAAATCTGTAACCCTGAATCCAGCAACTTACCCCCATGCAAGTTGAATGACATTCAATACAAAGAAACAGGACACAGTCAGTGTTCCAAGCAAAGGGACAGTCAGGCCTTAGGTCACCACAACAACATATCATTTACATTTCTACAAGAATAAAGAGATATTCAATCATATCAAATCAATACATAACAAAAGTTCTGAAAAAATAGACAATACAAGTAAAACAAATAACAAACTTGTTTGTCAGAAATTATGCCTTGTTACATATTAGTTTTAACGTTTTCATTATGAATAACAAGGAACCCATCGCTTCTCTCAATACAACCTCTTTTGTTTACCATTTCGTTTTTTCTTCAACAGATTTCATTCCTTCCCTCAGAAGACTCTTCAAGAACAGCATCTACACAATGATGATACTTACATACCTGGTTTCTGTTAACGGCTTCATTGGCTTGATCACCTTCAAGCCAAAGTTCATGGAGCAAGTCTACGGCCAATCAGCTTCCAAGGCAATTTTCCTCATAGGTAGGGTATAGTAACTGACCCCCTTTTCTTTCTTCCTTACTGCACCTTGCAACCTAAGACGACTGAAACAATGGTGTTATTAAAGGGAAGTGTGAAGCGAGAGATAAGTTGACTTGAAATGTAAGCACTAAGTAGTCCACTGTGGGCTCTCACTCTCACTCACTGTGTTTATTGGTGAAGTAGCACCCTGAGCTATAGTTAGCTTTTTATGACATTTTACTTGTACAGCTGGCTTTCAGTGTTACTTTTACATCGTTCTCCACCTAAAAGATTGTCTAGGGGCTAGTTGAAGAGTATGCAAATTAATGGGTATATCAGCCACAGGTGAGGACACAATGGTTAAAAGAGACTAGAAGTAAAAGTAATAAAACATAGTTAAAATATTTCAACGTATTGGATAAAGGTGCAGCTTAAGTTAAATACTCCAAATTAATGGCTAAATAGCTCAAACAGTTAACTAAACATACTGCGTAAAAGTAATTAATACTGTAGCAACTCTCGCTAATGAAGCTCCAGACAATGGACTCTTTTATGGTTTTTATTAATCGAACAGGCTACTGTGGGCCGTAGCCTACGCCAAACAACAACAAGCAGTTCCGACACAACTCCCGCGTTACCTACCACACCCGCCCCCAAAAAATCCCCACAACATCTCCCCATAGGTGGCACTAGGATAACTGGCGTAACGTTTACTGAACTACTAAAACATAGTAAATTGGGCCTTCGCTTACTGAACATGCCAGTCCGTTACACTATCCCCCTCCCTCAAAGACCCTCGCCCCCGAGGGGGCAAACAAAATCTCTCAGGTAGCCAGGGGGCCTTCGGTCCCTCTGGGGCCGCCTTTGTCCTTGGGAAGAAGAGAGTTGGTCAGCCCCAGAGACAGGGAATGGGGAGGCCGAGCCAGAGCCACCAAGTCCAATGTGTGCTGGGCGAGGCAAGCTACTGGATTCATTGGGGAGGTTTTGAGGGGTTGCCAGAGTAGCGTCCCGCCACTCCAGTTATCCTGCCTTTGTGGAGTTGCTGTGCCCGTGTAGGGGGGTTGGCCTGTCCCTGTGTAGGGCAACTTTCCTCCCTCGTGGTGGCGGCTGGACCCTGTATACTACCTCCCCCACTCTTTCCAGGACCTGACAAGGTCCCACCCATTTGCTATCAAGTTTTGGGCACCTCCCTTTTTACTCTGCGGGCTATACACCCAGACCAGTTCCTCAGTCTCAAAATGTCTTCCTCTCGTGTGGACGTCATAGTTCCTCTTTTGCCTCACACCTGCACTGCGCAGCTGGTTCCTGGCAAACTCATGGGCAGACTCCAGGCGATCCTGGAGTTTCCTCGCATACTCAAGCCCTGGAGGACCTGCAGAGGCATCAGGGGTTTTCCCCACCATCATCTCGGCTGGCGTCCGGATCTCTCTGCCTAGCATGAGCCGTTACTATGGCCAGCTGTTGCGCCAGCGTGAAGTTAAACCTTTCAACTAGTCCATCGCTCTGCGGGTGAAGTGGTGTAGTGTCTTGTGTGAGCAAAGTTTTTCACACAAGGCAGAGAAAACACAGGACTCAAAGTTCCTGCCCTAGTCTGTGTGGATTATTTCAGGTGTGCCAAATCTGCTGAACATACCTCCCACCAGAGCGTCCACTATAGTCTCTGCCTCCTGGTCTGGGAGGCTGTATGCCTCGGGCCACATGGTGAAGTAGTCCATAGCAGTGAGGATGTACCGGTTACCTCTCTCAGTGCGGGGAAAGGGTCCGAGGACATCAATCCCCACCCTTTCCATGGGGCATCCTGCTGGAAACTGTTGGAGTTGGGCATGAGATGTGCCTGCAGGCCCCTTACGTGCAGTGCAGCTGTCGCAGCGGCGGCAGAAGTCCTCTACATCCTGCCTGTGCTGGCCCCAGTAGAACCCTTGATGGAGGCGGCGAATGTCATCGAGGTACACAACACACTCCTGGCGGGCAATAGCAGCTAGCACTTTATCCACTAATCGCTCAAATGTAGCAGGGGCATTACAGAGGCCAAACGGGAGGACTTTAAACTTTAAGCTTTTAAAAAGCCCTGGGACTGGTGGAAGGCTCAATGATCCCGCCCGCTGCATCTCCTGCAACGCTTTATCCGCAGCAGCTTGCCTGGACAGTGGGAGGCGTCGAGGCCTCATCCTGATCGGTGGTGCATCCCCTGTCTCAATGTCGTGCTGAATGAGCTCTGTGCAGCCGACGTCCCCCTCTGACAGCATAAAGCAGTCCTTGAACTCGAGTAGGAGTTCCCATAATACATTTTGTTCATCAGGAGCCAGGCCATTACAACTTTTCTGCCAGACCTCCCTCACAACAGATATCCTCTCGTTGTCATTAGCCGGTGAGGTGTCTGTCTCTTGGGTGCGTTGCACAGCAGCCAGTCGAATAGTAGTCGGCGCTAAGTGCAGCTCAGCGCCTGGTATGGTCAGAGTCCGAGAGGGGGGCGGCTCGTTGGATGGAATTATGCCGGCAGACACAGAGTTTATAGTGTCAGGCTCTAGGGCCAAAACGGAGTGCGTTGTGCTGCAACTTGGTCGGGGAGGCCGCCGCAACATCTGGATGACATTGCCGTCGGGAAAAGTGAGAGTCCCCCTTTTAGCGTTTATCACACAGTCCAGAGCACCCAGAACACCAAGACCCAGTATACAATCATCCAGGTCAGCAACCCACACTGGGCAGCGTATAGATTTCCTTCCCAACACCAATGTGACTATTGCCTCACCGACCATAGAAGCCCGGTCCCCGGTGACTGACTGCAGTTTGACTAGAGTGGGAAAAATAACCATTCCATTTTTCACCATATCAGGTCTCACCAGGGTTGCTGATGAACCAGTGTCCATCAGCGCACAGCAACATGTCCCTTCAATAGTCAGTGTTGCATACCAGCAGTCTCCTATCCACGTTAGACCCAGCACCACCAGTCGTTCCAGCTGACCATCAAAATCCTTCGCCGGCAGCGGTGCTCCAACTCTTTCGGAGATTTGTGAAGCCTCTTTACTTGATGGGGGTCGGGAAAGGGTGTCAGGGGTCCGCACTTTCCCGATTTTGCGGTCCCCGTCCCGTTTCCCTTGTCTGCGGCATTACGGGGGCAGTGCCTGATCAGGTGTCCAGGCTGCCCACAACCCCAGCAGACCCGTGGGCGCGGCCTGGCCTGCCGCTCATCAAGGGTGGCAGCCCTCACAAGCTGGGTCAGCTCCTCCACCCAGGCAGGCTGCACCTTGTCCATCTCAATCCCACCAGCAGTTCTCCCTGTTGGGGAATTTCCAAATTCCCTATCAAAGGTCTTACCACACAGCATCTCTCTCTCTGTTGCCAACTCCAGAGCATCCTGAAGGGACCCAGGGCTAGCCAGTAGTGTCTGAACGCGCAGGTCGGCTGGCAATAGAGCCTGGAGAAAATGGTCTCTTGTCAGCTCGCTTTGGATGGAAGGGGGCATGTGGCCGTAGGTGCGGTGAACAAGCCCCTCAATGTCATTAGCTAGCGCTCTCAGTGGTTCCCCCGGCTGCCTCTGTCTGCTGCACAGTTCAGAGCGGAGCAGGCTAGCAGCAGAGCATTGTCCAAAACGTTGCTTTAGAGCCCCGATTAGTGCATCATAATCACTCCTTTTGACAGGACTCAGCAGCAGCAAGCAGGACAAAGCATCACCCGTGAGGCACATCGCTAGTTGAAGGGCTTTTAATTCCGTGGACCATCCACTGGCCCGAGCTAGCAGTCCAAATTGAGCATGAAAAGCTTCCCAGTCCGCTTTACCGTCATACCTGGGGGTCTTTATTGTTGGTGCAACAGTGCCCCCTCGTGGCTCAGCGTGCGTAGTCATGTCTATTCCTCTATGGACGTTAAATCCACCGACAGAGCAGTCCGAGCGTCCAAAGCCAGCCTCGGCAGCCATCCTCGCGGTCATTTCCTTTACCCGCTCTTTGCACTCCGTGGAGTTCCAGGCTGCGGCTGCGCCGTCCCGTCCCTCTTCATCGGTTCCCTCCTCCTGCTTTATCTTACGGTGTACGTCCGGATGCATCCCTCTCAACGCGGCTAGCGTTAGCCACTTAGCTTCTCCGCAGTTGATGAGAAGACTTCCAACGGATGGCGAAAGTTTTACTTCTGACACCAATGTAGCGACTCTCACTAATGAAGCTCCAGACAATGGACTCTCTTATGTTTTTTATTAATCGAACAGGCTACTGTGGGCCGTAGCCTACGCCGAACAACAACAAGCCCCTCCGACACAACTCACGCTCCCGCGTTACCTACCACACCCGCCCCCAAAACATCCCCACAACATGTCCCCATAGGTGGCACTAGGATAACTGGCGTGACGTTTACTGAACTACTAAAACATAGTAAATTGGGACTTCGCTTACTGAACATGCCAGTCCGTTACAATACATTATTAAAATGTTGTAAAATATATACTTAGTTTTTATTTCATTATGACCACAACTTGTGATAAGTAGGACACTTTTGTTTCATAGTTTTCCAAGTGCATTGATTATCTTTTTTTTTTCATCTATAAAGGTATTATGAACCTACCAGCTGTAGCTTTGGGAATCATCACCGGAGGTTTTGTTCTGAAGCGTTTCAAGCTGGGCGTCATCGGAGCAGCCAGGGTGTCAGTTACTGCCTCTGTTGGGTCCTTATGTCTATTTTTCATTCAGATCTTCATATACTGTGACAAGGCAGAGGTGGCAGGTCTTACTGTGTCATATCAAGGGTGAGTGAGATTCAAACCTGTTTTTCCATCTCTCTGTCTTCATTTTCTTTTAATTATATATTTTTCCCAAAACCGCACATGCCTAATTCAGTCGAATAATCTCCATTGAAACAAATTTAGGCCTCACCAATCCCAAAAACCCCTACTCACAAATCTTTATTCTTATCTGTGTGTACCAGGGATTCTCAAGTGTCTTACAACCAACAGACCATGATTTCACAATGCAACATGGCCTGCTCCTGCTCAGTGAAACATTGGGACCCAGTATGCGCTCAAAACGGAATAACGTATGCCTCACCCTGCTTGGCTGGCTGCCAGACCTCCACCGGCATCGGCAAGGAAATGGTAAAATAGAAACATATTTACTGCAGATTCCTTGCAGGTTTGCAGCATTGTTGTTTTAAGTTGTAGTAGCAGCAGCAATACACATACAATCCCACAGTCAACGGTAGTAATACACCTCTTCCTCCTCCGTTTCTTTAGACATTTCATAACTGCACCTGCACAGGGGGGAAGATGATGACTCCTGGCATGAACATGTCCGCAGTGCTGGGCCAGTGCCCGAGGAGGAGCAACTGTGATTACAATTTCAAAATCTACATGGCTTTGTCTGTGCTGGGGTCTTTTATTTCTGCCTGTGGGGGCACACCAGGATACATTGTACTGCTCAGGTAAGCTAAAGAAATATATTTCCAGTTATAATGATGCCTTGGGGGTGTCCTGTTGATTTTCATCCCGATTGTGAGTGTGGTTAATCTGCATTTTGTTTTTAAGTTAAAATACTAATATTAAGGTCTCATCACATCACTTTTGCTTTAACTTCCAGGTCCATACAGCAAGACCTGAAGTCACTGGCGTTGGGTATGCAGACACTGATAGTGAGAACTTTGGGTAAGAATTGAAATATATGTTTGTTCTGTAAAATCCTCATGTTAAAAGTATCACGGTTACAGGACCATGCTTATACCAATTTTGGGCTCTTGGTAAGTGGAAAGCCTAGTTCATGCTTCTGCGTTTTCAGAGCGACACAGACACAAGACCCCCTTGCGTGCCTTTTCACACCTCCTTGCGTGCGTCGAGCCATTTTTCGAGGCTTGCGTGCCGCAGCCCACAAGGATGCGATTGGTCCGCTAACTACATCCTTTACGGAGTCTCACATTTCCGTTTTCATAGCCTGATACCGCCATTATTAAAACGAAGAATGTTTACGAGAGAACAGATCAGAAGACTTTTAGAACTATGAATTGAAACGAGTGCGTCGACGCAACGACGCAGACGCAGAAGCATGCGCCAGCCTTGAGCAAATGTGACTCTGTTTTTTCAGGTTCGATACCTCCTCCAATATATTTTGGCGCACTGATTGACCGCACCTGTTTAAAATGGGGCACCAAGCATTGTGGAGGCCGTGGAGCATGCAGACTCTATGATGCCGATGCATTCAGGTAAAATGAAACTATACCTGTTTTTTATTGCTAGAATACCAGATCCATAATAGTAGATTATTGTGTTTTAAGATATATTTTAAAGTTTCTAATACTATTCCCAATCTTTACCACTGCAATTAATAGTCATTTGACAATGGATAACATTTCACCTGTACTCCTGGTTTTATATCATATTTCCACTACATTTATACATGCTTATATATTTTTCACTCTGTATATAGTCTTTTCTTGTCCTAACTGGTCAGAACTTCTGGTCAGAACTTCTGGTCAGAACTTCCAAATGAAAGCACCAAGTTAGGTTTAATAAAGGAAACTTAACCTGTTTCAATGTACATTACTTTCAGAATGAGATTCATGGGATTGATCACGGGACTATACTGCCTATCCAACATACTCTGGGGAGGCCTCTATGTCACAATTGTCAAGAGACAGAAGAAGTTAGCACTGAGAAATCAGGCCAAAGAAAACGTAGTGGAGGGTGAAATGGCGGTCAACGGACATGCAAACATAATTGTTGCCAAAAAGAATGAAGATGCAGGCAATGAAAGCACAATTTGAAATGTTTGAGAAAGGCAACAGTATTTTAAAATGCAGGCAGACGACACACTGCTGAAGTACTGCACTGCACTTCACTTCAAGTGTAAAGGAATCTATCCTCAGTTTTAACATGAACAACTATCACATTGATCCGCATCTGCACTGATATGCATACTTAGAGGTCATTTTTAGCTCTACTTTATAATACATTGCGTTAATTTATGAAACAAGTCAGTATGATGTAAGGGGAAGTGAGCACAAAATACACCCAATATTTGGAGAACGTGTCCATCATTTTTACTTGAATAGCATTGTCAGGTAATAATAGTTTCAACACTTAAATGTATACAGTCAATGTACAACATAATGTGTACAGTAAAGTTTTACATACTACTTACTAAAAGACAACTAGCGTTTGTTGCCTAACAGGTGATAGCATTACTTTTCAAAACAACATATTGTTCATGTGATCTTGCTCAGTGATTGGAAATGTTTTCTTCCATGTTGGTGAAGGAGAGTTTGTGAAGTCTGTGATGTTTAACGGTATTGTACTCTATGTGAAAATAGATTAAATTTACCAAGTAAATTAGTTAAAAGAATAGGGTGAATTAGATCACGATTTCTGAAGGAAGACGTAAAATTAGTTTTTTTACACTGTAGCTTACATAATAGGATTGATTTTTATGTTGTTTAAAACAAGCTATGATTCCATATTACCAGACAGTAGTACACCCAAATACCATTTTGCCAAATGCCATTTTTCTTAGGTGCTAGTCAATTTCTTGGTAAGTAGCAGCTCTGAACAAACATGCTTGCTTCAAGGCCAATTATGAGTAACATAAAGTTATAGTTCAGCATATTGGGACGTGCACTTTCAACAAATGGGATATGATGTGTTAATAAGCTTTGGCGGTGATAAGCTGATTTTGGTCTTTGGACAGAACAAGATTAGCAGCCAACCCAAAAATATTTGGTAGACGAGCTTACTGCTGATATTGGTTTCAAATTCAATGAGCTGACATGAGAATGATATAATTTCTTTTATCTGGCTCTATGTTTTTTCAAAATTTTGGAACAAATTGTTGCCTTAAGTTTTTTATTACAGTTTTCATGACAAAATCTGAGCAGAGAACGTATCAAGGGCACCGCAAGATTTGATGGCCAGATAACTCACCTCTGTGACTTTACACACACATCATTATGCAAGTCCTGCAGGTCATGAGCGTTCATACAATCATCTGACTAATGTTTTTCATTGTCTGAGAAAGTTCACTATAGTTTAGATTGTGCATTGTTTTACACTGTTACACAATGTAGTTTTCAATGAAAATATGTAATCCGCATTACGCAGATACGTTTTTACATTCCATGTACTTTTCCTTATCATCATTTCTATCTTTCTTTCATTTCTCCTTTTTTACGTTTTGTTCATTGTCCTTGAAATGGTAAACAATAAAGATACATTCATCAATATATTTTTAATCATGTCCTATTTAACCTGAACATGCTGTGATAAGGCTCAAATAGGCGTTAGATATTCAACCACGTGTGAGTAAGACCTTATGAAAAGCAGCAAACTAAAAAGAAACCCTATACTTTACTATGTCATCCCATCATAAATCTTAGAAAAGCTAGTCCAGTGTCCAGTTAAGCACCTACTCTTTGTCAGACAGGGGTTAGCTAAGATTTATCTCAAGAGAAATAGATACATCTAGTCCAAAGGTCTTCCAAAGGTGAGAAACTAAATGAGAACACTACATGGGTCGTCGTGGCGCAGGGGTAGAGAGGGTGCGCTCGGAACTGCAAGATTGGTGGTTCGAGTTCTAGCTGCCCCATGTCCCAAGTCGAAGTGTCCCTGAGCAAGACACCTAACCCCTGAATGCTCCCCTGGCAAAAATGTAAAAAGCCATGGGTTAAAAAAAATGTAATGTAAGTTGCTTTGAATAAAACTGTCAGCTAAATGACCTGTAATGTACATTGAAATTATATGGACACACATACTCCCTCTTAACCTTACTGTGCAATAGATTTCATGCGTTTTTTCTGTTCACATGTGCATTGACATATCGGTCTGGATGCTTTTGGTAGAAGATTATTATTATCTAAGCTGATCAACCGTGGACTGCTCTCTGTTTACCATGTCACTCATAAAATGAGAGTTGGGGGCCAGAGCCTTCAGTTATCAAGCTCCTCTTTTGTGGAACCAGGTTCCACTTTCAGTCCGGGGGGCAGATTCGGTCAGCTCTTTTAAAGTAAAACTTAAAACTTTCCTCTTTGATTCTGTCTATAGTTAGGGCTGGCTCAGGTTAGCCCGGACCAGCCCTTAGTTAAGCTGCTATAGGCTTAGAATGCCGGGGGAATTCTTAGGACACACCGAGCTCCTCTCTCACGCTCTCGTTCTACCATAATTCACGTTTTATTAATGCACATGACTAATTCAGCCTCTTTCCGGGAGTTTTTTTTGTGCTTTCTCCCCTATCAGGTCTCCGTAGATCGTGGTTCCCTGGTCCTGACACCTACCGTGGCCATGCTGACGCCTGCTGCTGCCATCATCATCATCATTATTATTTTAGATATTAATCATATTACTGTACTCGTAAACCAACATTACCCTCTCCTAAAGTCTCTGTGCTCTCCCTCCCCACAGGCTTCTGTGGATGGTGGTTCTATTTGATGGTGGTTGCCCCTGCAGTGGTCCTGCTGTGCGCCTGGCTTACTACTCACAATTCCTTGAATCATTTCTGTCATAGGAATTGCATGTATTATATACTGTTCATTCTGTACACATGGCATCCATTGTAGTCTGTCCATCCCGGGAGTGAAATCCCTCCGCTGACGTTCTCCCTAAGGTTTCTTCCCTTTTTTCCCTCTTGGAAGGGTTTTTTCATTTTTTGGGGAGTTTTTCCTGTGCCGATGGTGGGTTTCGGGACAGAGGATGTCGTATGTGTACAGACTGTAAAGCCCTCTGAGGCAAATTTGTAATTTGCGATTATTGGCTATACAAAATAAAATGAATTGAATTGAATTGAATAAAATATTTACACTCTATTTTGTAAGACAAAGGATGACAAAGGTTTTTCTACAGCTGTGTTATTTTGTTTTAGCGTACACCACCATATTATTATGTATTGTAACTGTTGCAGTACCATATAATCATGCTTCTTTTTTGGTTTACCAGTACTCCAAAAATGCTGTTATTGATTTTAAAAGTTTGGCGACTTTTCCAAATTAGCTCTAAATGTAATTTACAAAATCTCTTCTTTATTCAAAACCTTATTCATGAACTTCAACTTGTTTTTCATCAATGTTTTTATAGCTCATAAACCTTTGTGCAGCCTGCTGGTTTCACAACAATAGGGGAAAGGGGCGAGGTGGAGGGGAGACAAGCCCTAAAGGGATTTTTTTACCCTTACAAACCAAAGTATCAGACTCGTGTTGCATTACCAGGAATTTATAAAAGGTGTATAGAATGGCTGATAAAGACCAAAGACAGGCAACATATTAAGAAACAGGAGTTGATTTTAGGCTACGGGCTGAACGCAGCCTGCTGGTTTCACCGACAAGTTTCACCAGCAGGCTGCACACTTTACAAATAAATGTCCTGTGCAAGGTTCTGCATTTCCCCAAAGGTTTTCCCTCTGCTATTTAGTCCCAACTAAAATGTAGCATTCATTTGTATCAGATGTGATGATCTAAGATGCCATGATGCAGTAACAATCTGTATTTTTTAATGCACCTGAAGCTATACAGTGTAAAAAAGAAAAAAATGCAACACATACTCTATTGCAATATATATTAATTTATTAAATTAAAGTATACTTTTTTCAAGTCAAGAATAATTTTTAGAAAGGGAAAGTGGCAAACACATTACTTTGCTGTTGCTGTTCAGGAATGTAAAGGCTCTTAATCTTAATCTTTGGAATTTGTTTTGAGCCAAAGCTGATTGAAAGACCTGCTGCATGGAATAAATGTGTGCGACGCCTTTTGTCATTTTGGTTCCAATTAACTGAATTGGCCTCACACAAAATATAGGAGGAGGTTTCCCTTCTCCCGGTTGTAGAAGAGAAACATGGCTACTTAAAGAGGAGCAGAGGAAGAAGAAGAACAGAAAGGAGACTTGGAGAGGCACTTGGTATGTGATTAAACTTTATCTGTAGTCGCCTTGATGAAGGGATTTTGGTACTATTTTCTAGCTTGCCAAGACAAGATTGAACCTTAAAGTTTGCCTGCTCTTTGGGTGGAGTATTAAACAGGCTAAACCTGAGGGAGTGTTGGAACAAGGGGGTTTATTGTATTACTTCGTACCCCCCCCCCCCCCCTCAAATGTTCCAGACAAATGTGTTTTCACTGGAAACCACTTTATTCTCTTATATGGATTTCAACCTACAGCGCCTGACATTAAGGGAGCTCAGAGAATTTTGGGAAAAAAGCCTTGTTGGTGGAGTCTTCAGGTACCAGTGCTCGGTTTTCTCGTACAAATTCTAACTTGTGAGGCTAAATTGTCGGATTGGCCTTGCACTACAATCTTGCACTTCAAGACCATAATGCTCCTGACAAGTTAATCCTGATTGATGGAATTAATGTTTTTGAAACTAAACACATTTTGTCTATCTGGTTCTCCAGATAATTCAATATTGTATGCTTTACATTACTATGCGGTAGATTATTCATGGGTAAATACAAAAATTGTTAATACATGATAATTGTGCAAAGTTAGTTGTAAATACACTACTGCTATTATTGTGGACCAAATCCTTTCCTCCATTATATTATTCCATTATATAATGAACATTACCATGTCTTTGATGCCATTTACTGTACGTGACGGCTACTATCAATGTATTTAAATATAAAAATGTATTAGTTACGTGGCTTTAGATTCACCTTTCAATTGAGAGGTTGGGCAACAAAAAATGGCACTGAAGTTGGAAAAACATTCAGTTTAAACAGTTTAGCCATTGTTAGCAACACAAGTTTACATTAACCAGTGACAAAATGAATGTTCCAATCCATGTAACACACAAAATGCAAATAAAGAGGATATTACTACCGCCTTTTTTTAATGTTGATGTGGGGAGCGGCCATCATAGACTTTGACATCAGGGTTGGAAGGGTCTGCCCGACTTTAGGCCGCCCTTAAAACTGGGAATTAAAAACACTTCAAATGGAACTTCAACTTCAAGATTAATACCCACTCTCGTATTAAGAGATGAATATGAAGCTACAGCCACCAGCTACCACACAAAAGCCAGAAAAAAAATATTTTTTTCAGGTGCTTGGCCCTGGACCGAACCAACCTGTTTCCAGTTAGTCTCCAGTTTGTATGCTAGCCCTAGCTACATATTTTCATATAGCTCTGCTATTCACTTCACATACAGAGGCCATATAAGCCATTAGAAATGTTGTATATGAGTTAAATTACTTTTGCATCAAACAGTATATTGAGTCAAACATATTGTCCTTATCATTAGCCTGACCTTGTTTATTTTATCTCTAACTACAGTGTGTGTCTGCTTTCTTGCAGTGGACAGAGGGCGGTTAGATTAAATACCACACAGACGTTGATTGTAAGATAGAGAAAGCTGTGGAGGACGGAGACAAGATGACCAGCCAGCAGGTTTTGTGTGACCCCGATCGGGAGACAAGGAAACGCCCTGTCATCTCCACTCTCAAAGTACTAAAGCTATCTGTTATCACACACCTCGGCTCGTTACTCCTTTGGTTCGGTCATTTGATTTGGTTCTAATTTGGAAGTTCCTGCTGTTATTACAGTAGTATTAGATTGTGGAATTCCGTTAAAAAGCCTAAAAGGCACCACAGCGGAGCTGGCCTCACCACAGCCATTTGTCAGCAAGGACTGTAATAGGAGTGCATCAATAATGGATGGATGGATAAATGCTTACATTTTTAGACGCATATCATCAGTACAGTAGTTCTTGGTCAATTGAGGTCAATTTGCTTTCCCCCTAAGTAGGTAGAATCAAGCCAAGAGCAACTTATGTATTGTTTTCAATCTTGGCATATGAACGTTTGGCAAACACTTCAGACCATATAGCTCTTCCTTGCCTGATAGCAGCACATCAGCATGTGCAGAGGTAATGGAGCCATTTCCCCACAACACATCTTTTCTACAATTTGCATCTTCCCATTTTTTCTTGTTTCCTTTGCTCTGCTTGTAGGTATTGGCTTTAAAAGAAAATGTTTAGAATTATCACCAAATAAACTAAAAATAGACTTTTTTTGTACTAATTAAGCTTTTTAAGAAAATAAAAGACGAAACTAAAAAGAACAGCCAGTCGTTGCAACGACTACAACAGTTCTCTTTTATTTAATCATTGTCGATAAAGCATTAAATAGTGATAAGTACACAGATTTTTGATGACTTGTGTTTTCCCTCGTTGTTTTCTAGTTGTTTATTATGGCGCTGTCCTTCGCCTGCTTCTCAAAGGCTCTGACAGGAACCTACATGAAGAGCTCCATCACTCAGATTGAGAGACGATTCGACCTCTCCAGCACGCACATTGGACTCATCGATGGCAGTTTTGAGATGGGTAGCATCCATCGTTTGATTTGACCTCAATATATTTTTTTGCATCTGATCAGGTCTTATTTCAACTTCTTCTTAAGTGATGATTTGCCAAATGTCTTTATACTCTGCTCTCTTGGATTATCTTGTAGGAAACTTGCTGTTTCTTGCTGTGGTCAGCCATTTTGGGGCCAAGCTACATCGCCCCAAACTCATCGCTATTGGCTGTTTCCTCATGGCTGTAGGGGCCTTTCTCACGGGGCTGACCCACTTCTTCATGGGATGGTAAATACCAACAAGCGACCAACTTTTAGAAGAGCTCCAAATGATTTTGTTTAATGTCTCATTGCACTTTTCACAGCTACAGATACAACACAATCGTTACGGTTTTCCAGAATGGCAGTGTGAACGTTTCCGCTTGTGTGGGTCACCTCGGAACAGAAGTAGCTCAAATTCAGACTGAACCCTCTGTAGAAGACAACAAAGGTACGACTGTGGACTGTACTGAGGAGACAGATGGGCTTACAGGTTCCCTAAAGGATGGGTGAACACTGTTTTAGCTAATGATCAGCCGTACTAGCAGTGTAGCTCTCTGGATTGTTGAGTTGCCTCTTTTGGTAGATCCGGCCCCAGGTGTGCAACTGCAACCTGCTGCTTGTGTTTTAATGGCCTGTGGGGAGTATTTTAAAATAAAAATTACTTGTATATTGCACTTTTCTAAATACTCAAAGATGCTTAGGGCAAAGACAAAAAGAAAAAAAAAGAAAAAAAGAGACAAACAGGAATATTTAAAAATTATACCACCATGTTGTAACACTAGTTGTTGTTGCCATTATAAAGAAATACTCAACTTATATTGATTTCCAGTTTATGAAAACATTTACATCAGCATATTAACGCAACCAAAAAGATCTAAGATAGCTGATCAATTTTGTTTGAGAAGAAATGCTTTACTTCTTCACAGAAGTTGAGAGAGGCAGAGGATGAATCATCAAGTCATATTATTGGGTTCATATTTTGAACCAGAGAAGTGTAGCACAATATTCTCAAACCTAAATAAACAAAAACCTGAACAAAAACCTGCAAAAAATAAAGGAGATGCCTCGTGTTTGGTCAGTGAACAAGAAACAACAGCCGTAGCATTTACAAAGAGACTGCTTTAAAATGAAACCTGGTTCAAAAGCCCTGGTTTTCTTTCAATCATGCCTGGAATGCACTGATCCTGGTCTGATTACACATCCGGTACCAATGTTCAGCCTGTATGTGGTCTGTACAGCAAGCCAACACGAGTAAGAGAAAGAGAAAAGAGAAAGGTCAGGTCTTATAGCATCATTGACAAGGCAGATATTGGCAATAGTAATGCTAATAAATTCAGCATGGTCGCATATTTGTATTTATGTATTCATGTATTCAACTCTTTCTGTTGTGGCACGATAATTAATTATTATTCTTTTCTCACAATAACATGTAATTCACCCAAAAGATACATTGTATTGATCCTGTTCAGCCACTCTGATGAGATGTATTTAGAGAGAAACACAATGTGGAAGAGACATACAATGCTGTGCTATACAGGCTTCATGCCGCATGCTATTAGATTGATATTGAATCACTACCACATTGTATTCATACATCTTGTATGAGATTTTATTTTCTCATCCTCATTTACTTGTGAAAGGGAGGGGGCATTTGATACAGATGCACAAAATGATCAATAGATTCTGTGAACCTTGCTGTCTCAAACACACACACACACACACACACACACAGACATAAACATGCATATACACGTTCTGGTTTGAACTAAGATTTTAAACATAAAAAATGTCCTAATTACAATGTTTATCAATGCATCATATATATATATATATATATATATATATATATATATATATATATATACACGGCAGGGTTCGATGAAAATTGCTATTTATCAGATCTTTGCAACAAAATCAATATAATGCTTTCTTATTTTATGCATCTTTATGGAGCCTGTGTAACAGAGTCTGGTTCCAACATGTGGATCTATGTATTCCTGGGGAACGCTTTGCGAGGGATCGGAGAAACCCCCGTCACACCTCTGGGAATTTCTTACATTGACGACTTTGCTAGAGCAGAAAATTCCCCCTTCTATATAGGTAAGATATTTCTACTCGTTTTAAAAGGTTCGAAAGTAATAAACAATGTTAAAAAATTGACAATAGACTCTCTAAAAGAAGCCGATGTAGTCACTGTGACTTCACCCATTGGTTTGCAGACTCCATCCGTATTGTTTTTTGCCTTTTGTCCTTAAAACATTCTATCACCAAAAGTGACACCGGAGGGTTGAAATGCTAAATGAGACGTTGGTATTATGTCAATGTTAAACTTGGCTTTTATAAGCTGAAAACACATTTTAAAGGGTTAATATTAGACAAAAACGACCGGACAAAATGGCTGAGGCTACCTGTCAATCAAATGATGTTCATTAAGCAAACTCTGCTTTATTGTCTATTTTCACAAATGACCATGTATCGATGGAAGAGGTTAGCGCCTACAACTGACACATTTCCTAAAACTTACACATAGAACAAAGTCTATTCAAGTGCATCAAGGTCTTCTTAACTGTTACTATATCTATTCCCATTGGGGATATCCCAAAGTTACTATTTTCTAAACCAATTGTAGAAAATGTTTGCCATTTACAGCCTGTCTCCACACTATCACTCTCCTGGGCCCCATGTTTGGTTTCCTCCTCGGCTCCTACACTGCCAAACTATACGTTGACTTTGGATATGTTGATATTGGTAAGTGTACTTTTTTTTTGCATATGTATTTTCAGCAGTTATGGTTTGTCTTGTACCAAAAAGTTGGCACTAGACTGAAACGCCTGAAACTTTTCTGGTGGCATTTTTGAGGAACAGACATAGTGACTCTGGCTTGAGCTTTGGTTCAAACTGGTTTTGATCAGCCAGCTTCTGAAGGTGAAAAGGTGTGTCAAGCTAACAATAGACCTACCTGAACAAGTTAGTTAAGTGAAATTCCAAATAAAGTCAAACACTCATCAAGCTTCCTGCTCTCTCCGTGCACTTACACAAAGGCTCTTTTTCTGCACATAGAAAGTGTGACTATCACTCCGAAAGACGCCCGGTGGGTGGGCGCCTGGTGGATGGGCTTCATGGTGTGCTCCGTCCTCCTCCTCATCTCCAGCATTCCCTTCTTGTTCCTGCCACGCTCACTGCCTAAGCAGAAAGAAGCAACTCCCGCCTATGACACCCTAGAAGGGACAGAGGATGTTTCCGACAACAATCACAACCTCAAGCTGACTGCCATCGCTGAAGGTTGAGACGTTCCTCTTCCTCTTCCCATAACAGAACATTGATAACACTGCGTTTGAATTCTTCTTTAAATTCACAAATGCAATACATATTAGGAATTTTAATGAATGAAGGCATTTGTGCAGGTTTATGGACATTGCTAGTGGCCTAAATATACTGGATTCCTTTTAACAGGGTTTCTTGCCTCACTGAAGCGCCTGTTGGGAACTCCTGCTTACTTCCTGCTCCTTTGTGGAAACATCCTGAAGTTCAACTCCTTCATCGGCCTGTTCACCTTTAAAGCCAAATATATGGAACAACAGTTTGGACAGTCTGCATCCAGAGCAAACTTCCTTATAGGTAAACAATGAATTATATTATTTAATGGACGGTAAATACTAGTAAAATATGCATATAACGGTGGCAACGGTGCACACGAAGTTGAGCATACTGCATCTATTGGTTAGGAAGCTCTCGATTTGGTCTTTTTTGATGAGAGGCTTCATTACTTCAAATGCCTTCATGTCTCTTTGAAGAATGTAAAGCCTTAGCCAGGAACCAGTTGGCATTAAGACTCGAAACAGTCTTTCTTGCATTTAATATTTTGCTAAACACAAGGACTCTTCTTAGTTTTGGCAGGATGAGATGAAGGTTAATGGTGAAAAATAGTGAAATAGTCAATCTTTTGGTTTCTGATCTTCAGAGACATCCCTTAAAGTGGTCCTCAAATTCTCCAGAATCCCTCCTGTTTTTCTCAAGGTATGTTGAACCTGCCAGCAGTGGCAGTGGGGATCTTCTTGGGGGGGCTGCTGATGAGGCGGTATAAACTAAGCTTGGTGTTAGGAGCTCAGCTCTCTTTTGCCACATCCTTTATGGCATACCTCCTCCTGCTGCTGCAGTTCGGAACCAAGTGTGATAACATTCCCATGGCTGGCCTCACCATCTCATACAACGGGTAAGTGCTTTGGATATTACGAAGATAACCACAGCTTTAACAAACCAAAATAACGTACTACATAAACTCTTTTCAAGCCTCGAAATACAATAACCTGCAGGTAATTTAAAATGCAAACCCTTCCTTGCAGAACGCGGCGTCTTTCCTCCGATGGAGACGCGCTCTTCTCAGAGTGTAACAGAGACTGCTCGTGTTCAGCAGAAGAGTGGGATCCTGTGTGCTCAGACCGTGGCATCACCTATGTCTCTCCGTGTATGGCTGGCTGCCTCAGCTCCAGTGGATACGGCAAGAACACAGTAGGACTTCACACGTGGATGCATAAAAACAGAACAAATAGATGAGTTCTTCAGAAAGACTTTAGCCCCCAAACCGTCATTCGGTACACGTCAACCAATTGTTAGCATTAGCATTAGCGTTAGCAAGAGCTTCAATGTCAACTGTCGTCATTCACTATATTTTTTATCTACCACAGTCAATTTCTTTTTATTCAACTGCCTCTTCATTTTATATTATGTGGAGCTTAAGTGGAACTTAATTCCCAGCAGATGCCATTTCTTTCTCCTTACCAGGTCTTCCACAACTGCAGCTGTGTGTCCTCCCCAGCAGGCAGCAGCACGTCCGTGAGGTTGGGCCAGTGTCCTCATGCCAAGGACTGCAGCCGCAGTTTCACTTCATACATGGCTGTGTCGGTTCTCAGTTCCTTTATCAACTCCCTGGGAGCGACACCTGGCTACATGGTCATCATACGGTCTGTGCCCCGAGAAGAGCTGATGATAACTGACAATATTACTGCTATATGATGTTTATCGTTCGTAGGATCTGCAAATTATTTTAGAAATGAAATATAACGTCACCAACGTCTAATGCATGTTCAATGTTTTAATACTCCTATCTGTATTTGTTTTCTTACCCATGGTTGTATGAGAACGTTGACCACTCTCGCAGCTGTGTAATCAATATGATGCTACAGAATAGTATCTCAGCTGAGCACAAAAAGTGGAAACATTTTTGGAGCCAGGCTACCTGTTTCAAGTCTTTGTGCTAAGCTAAGCTGCTTGCAGTAGCTTCATAGTTAGTATTCACACATGAAAGTGGTGGCGACTTTCTACGAAATAGATCCCTACAAATGAGCCAGTGTTGATTTGTAATTGCAGATGCATCTCACCAGATCTCAAATCCCTTGCTCTGGGTATCGAGGCCTTAGCAACTAGGAGTCTTGGTAAGTTTCATTACTTTGTTTAAATTACAATTTTTATAACCATGTTCCAATCAACAGTTTCTGATGAGTCCCAAAATACAATATTCCTGTGCATTACATTATTGCAAAATTACAGATTTCATGTTTGAATCCTTGACTGTAGGTGGACTTCCTGCCCCAGTGTACTTTGGAGCCATGATTGATTCAACTTGCCTGAAGTGGTCGATCAAGAAATGCGGAGTCAGGGGGGCGTGTCGCATTTATGACTCTAATATGTACAGGTACGCCTTGGAGTGAAAATATGAAAATAGAAAGGGTTTATCCAACACATTAAATGTCATGGCAAGGACGATGTCTTCCCTTTGTTGCCCTCAGTCCATCTTTTGTCTTTACTTTCAGGATCATCTTTCTGGGTCTGATCTCTTGTCTCAGTGGTTCCTCATATTTCTTCATCACTGCCGTCATTATCGTCCTCAGACGACAGTTTCTTAAGCCAGAGAAACAGATACAAACGAAGGATGTAATAGCTTCAAAGCTAACTGACCTTCAAACCACCTCAAAACTCACTGAGGACCATCTCGGTCCCCTTAAAACTCCCCAATCGCATCATGCTGCCAAAGTTTGGGAAAAGATGGCAACAGAACTGGAGCAGGGAGGGGAGATTCACAGAAAAGAGCAGCTCCCCCAAGATGGTAGACTAAGCTCTTTAAGTAACATGCGGGACACGCAGCTGCTCAAATCCTTGACAGAGACCACTGTTGAGTTCACTCCTCCTCCAAGTGAGGAAGCAAAGGTAGAGATACACGGGCTGAACTCAGAGGTGGAGACAAAAGAGGGAAAGGACGAGGTAAAGAGATGGATGCACAGCTGAAAACAGAAGGCAATCTCACAGATGATAAAGAAACAATACACAGCAAGGAAATTGACGGCATGCAAAACTAAGAGGTCCACCAGTTTGTCCCAGGCAAGGCCACCCGGCTCCATTCTAGGAATGAAGTTAGGCGAAGAGTTGGGCCAAAACTCCCATTTACCTGGATTGTCAAGAGGAAATGCTTTTTCACCTTGGATATGGCATGCTCCATGTCAATAGTATTTTTTCGTCTTTAATTAGAGTTTTAAGCTGCTATTTTGCCTGTGGTCCTCTGGGCCAAAATGGATTTTTTTATTTTAATGTCAATGAAAAATCAGAATGTTTGATACTATTGTTAACACAATATCATGAAGGTGAGGTTATCATAAAATAGTTTTGTCACTGTTAGTTAACTTGCAGTGAGTGATTCTTTGGCCACTTTGAGTCAACACAATGAGCTGTAAATAGAATACTGGCATATTGACCTTATGCCTTTTCTTGTGGCTGGTAGTGTATAGTTGGTGTATTATAACTGGCTTTCCTCATATTGCCCAGTGCATATAGAAATGATGTCCTGAGAATGAATAAAAACAAGAAGTTGTTTCTTTGGTCATATCTCATGCCTTCAATCATTTGCAGTAAATTGTTTACAAAATTGAATGACTTCTCTACCTTTTTTTCAACCTCTAGTGTTGAATTAAGGATCTAGCATTCAATTATCAATAATAGGAAACCCAGCAGAGGCCTAACTATGGATGAGCCATGTCCATAATCCTTAGTATGTTACTATAGGAGCGGTATAATTAGGCAGGAGGAAAAAAAGACTATTAATCAGCCTAAACCACAAAATCAGCCTACTGTAAAACATGAAACGTCTGACCAGGGAGTCATTCATACCTTTTAACAGAACATGTAGGAGTTGATGACGTTAACTGATCATTTGAGTCTGTAGGTGCATCATGGACCAGAATGACTCCACACACACGCACACACACTCACTGGTTATGTATTTTGAGGTCCTCTCTCTACGCTGAAAGTTTAGGTCGTCGTTTCTCCGAGATCTCTATCTGTGACCGTGAGCTGAGTTTGTGCATCTGTAATGCTCCGAGAACAAATCTCTGCACTGAATGTAAAAATGGAAACAAAGAATCGACTGAGAAGAAGTTTCATACCTTAAGAGCACCTTATGAGAGCAGTTTTAAGGAAATAGTGGCTTTTTTTCTGCAACACAAGTAGGAACACCACCACCCAAACAGCATCTTGCTCCTCAGAATACAATCTTTTTTTTTCAGAGGAAAAATTTGGTCTGCTTACAAAAACAGACTTAAAATCCTACAAAATATCCACTATCCTCAATATCTCTCTTTCTCTGCTTTTCTTTCTCCTCTTTCTCCTTCCCCCTTGTCATTTCTTTGAAGATTGTGCACATTAACCTTTCTAAACACCCTATTCATACCGATGTGGGTGGTTAAATATTTGATAGGATATTTACATATTAAATCTAATTAGTATTATAATTTAATCAACCAACAAAAAAAATCGGTTCTCCAGTGCGTAACCTATTATTACTACTAGAATTACTATCATCTTGAAGTAGTTAAATGGTTTATTTATTATTTGCTATTTGTTGTTTATAGCTTAAAAATCTGAAAAATATCCTCTCACTCTCTCTGTGTTTGTAGTTGATACAGGTGTGTTTATGTTCCTTTGACCTTGGTGGCTTTAGTGGTGTTAAATAGGGGTGTTACATCTCCATTATGACTGAACTATATCTCTCCATTATATGGTGAAAACCCCCAGCAGCCCCCATGCTGTGCTCACATCTCCTCGCTATGGCTGTGGAGATGAATGACCGAAACATGGTCGAGGTAGTCATTTTAAATTGAATGCCTTTACGTGACCTCTCTAATATTTGCATTTTTATGACTGCAAGTAAGCAATCTTTTTTTTTATTCAATCCAAACAAAGCCAGTTGAAAGCACATCAGCTCCCATGTAGAAGAGGACTAAAGAGGACTAAAATATGAAATTGAGTTGAAGGCTTTGCAAACGTAGTCACACCACCCCTGTGCTGATGAAGCTGGGAAAAGTTTATGTCCATCCACCAATTCGAGTCTGGTAAAATGATTTCCTAGCGTGCTCATGGTGGAACTTCACAACGAGGAAAACTTGATGGAGCAAAAACTGAAGCAGCTTGTGGCCACAGCTGCCCTTGTGTTTTCCGTGACACATCAAAATGGAACTCTTGTGCACCACCCATCTCCTCTTCCTCAGCCCAATAGAATGGAGATTTGTTCACGTTATTGTGCTTCCCCGGGGTCCATCTCATGCCTACTCTCTACCATATTTTTTCAACCCTCTTTTCATCTCTAAAAAGCATCGAGAAGCAGATTTTGTGCCTTACTCCCAAATGGTGCTCAGAGCACTGACAGGAGAGTGTTGCCACCCCAAAAGAGAAAAGGTGAGGACCATAAAACCAGTCAGGTTATCATTATCTGTAATTACGACAAACATTTGATCCATTATTAGTATAAAACATAGAATAGGTATAATCAGCTTTAATGTTGTAAAAGTTACTTCATATATAAAGCGTTTCCAGGTCAAATGTGTCAAGTGCTACTCAAAGTTTTTAGCATCACTTCATTAATTAGTTCTTCCTGAGTTGTTTGTGTCGTGTCCCGTCAAAATAATGAGATGCCATTCATTATTAACGCTAATTCATCTTCACATTCATAATTCATCCTTGATGAAGCCCGTAGGGGAGCATAGGCAGGACCAAAGTTTGGTGACATGAAACTTCTCTACATGTCTCAAGATTATTGGGAAGACAACTTTCGCATCCCCGGTGAGGGTTTATGGCGGGTCAGTCCAATCACTGAGGCTGATGACAGTGATGACGATGGTGATGATGAGGATGGTGACGTCCAAAGATTGGTTGGTGCGTGTGTGTGTTGTTAAAATGTGCATTTGTCTGCGTGTACACTAAAATACAGCTGAGCGTGCGTATGGCGTGTATAAGAACCCCGTTGGATGACAACACCCCCATGACCTCGCCGCCCTCGCCGCCTGCCACCCTCCAAACCCCCACTCCCCGCACCCTCATCCTCCCCATTCTATGTAAATAAAAATGCAAGGCTATATTTGGACAGAGCTGATGTCACAAGTGGTTTGAGCAATGAGCCTATAACTGTTGGAGTCGGTGTATGTGACAGTCTGACAAACCTTGGAGTGCTCCAGTGACAGACTGGGATCTGCTGGCTACTGGCTGACACAACGGAAAGTAAGTACTCTTACTGATTGAAAGGCTTTGTTTGTCTTTTAAACCGGATCAGCGCATGAATCTAATTCTTGTTTCTATATACGAATGGGAGCAATGGTTTTCTTGTTGGTGTAAATAGGATTTTCCTTTTACAGATTTTTCTAAAAACTCCTCGGTGCCAAACAAGCAGAACTATAAAGGTTTAGTTCAAGATTGAAATTATTTGGTGGTAAGAAATAAATGATGCCTTATTACGTTAAAGGGAATTGTGAATAAAATTACTTAAGAAAAGAAAATGAATTTTCTTCATTATCTGCGTCTAGCTTCATAATTCTGCGGATTTAAGATTTCCTTTTCGTTACATTATAATGGATGTAATACACGTTGGGTTTTGGACTGCAGGTCAAAACAAGGATTTTTGAGAAATTTTCCTATTCCATTTTTTCCTAATTCATAGATGATAATTGTTGGCAATTTCAAGGAAAGAAATTGCAAATATATATGCAAATATATATATATATATATATATATATATATATATATATATATGTATATTTTTTTAGTTGTTAGATGTAACCCTATTGTATTATTCTATATAAAATAGAATGTTAATAACAGTCGGCGTTGAATTGGTCATTTTGTGTTATGTGACAGTATAATGTTGTTACTGAAGCATTGAACAAACTGCATTTGAATTTTGGATTGTATAGAACTATAGTAGCAGTCAAAAGTTTAGACATACTTTCTCATGGAATTGAATGAGGAAAAAGGAGTCCATTCTTTTGACTGGTACTGTATAAAAAATTAATTACACACTTTCTTTGATTTATATATTGATTTAAATATTGATCACACATTTTGCATTGCGAATCCTCTTTCCATCTGTAACAATACATCTTTGTTGTATTTTTGTTGATCCAGGTAATTCCTGCACTATGTATCACCTGAGGCTGCCTGTGCTTCTCCTCATGCTGCTTGTGGTGCTGCGCTGCGTCACTGCTGCCCCGGGCCACAGGTAAGTGTACACACTACAAGCAGAGCACGGAGGTCTTTAGTGTGGCTGTCCAACGACTTGTATAAATAATCACTCAGTGGTGTAATATTAGGGAGAGTGTTGAACAGTGGCAATCAATGCAATTTTGCAGGTTTCACTTTACTAAAAAGTGGATGGTATCAGATCGGAGGTCAGCAGATAAGCAGCTGAATATTAAGGAAATTGTTTGACAAGTAGGACTGTAATGTCCCGTGTGAGGAGCACTGGGGCATCGATAGCTCTGGAGGTAGAAGCCAATTGTGCTTTTGTGTGGGAAAGTGCTTCATTGTGCAACTCATATGGAGCTAAGTGCCCACTTTGTCTTCTTGCTCTTGGGACTAGTGGATGTTTTGAAGAGGCTGTAATCAGCCCTCCGTGTGAAACGATTTGGACCTTTTCCATTTCTGACTCAGGTACTTCACTCCCAGCTCATCCAGCGAGCGGGAAAGTGGTCTCCCAGACACCGATGGCTGGTTAGCTCCTGGGCTAATCTCCAACGCTTTCTTCGGCCTTGTGGGTACACGACCGGAGAGGGGACTCACAGATATGAACAGGTGATTCAATTAATAGAAACCAATAGGGGATTTTGTACGTTACAATAGTGTGCTTCGCTGTTTTATCAAACATGTGTATCCAACTTTAAAACATACTGTCAAAATGTACATCCACCAGGAGCTGCCGTAAATCCCCATCACATGACTAACATTCTCTCGCTGTACTTTCTCTTATCCAGCCACCACATGCAGAAAAGAAAATGTAACACAGCGACCTGCGTCACCCAAAGGCTAGCAGACTTCCTGGTCCGATCTAGTAACACTATCGGCACCGTCTACGCACCAACCAACGTGGGATCTGGCACCTACGGCAAGAGGGACTTTCTGCAGCCTCCCAGCTTCCTGCCTCTCTAGTGCCGACTGAGGAACAGACCAGCGCGATGATGATGTAACCACACGTCTTATTATTAACAGTGATTGTGAGAATGACGTTGATGATGGTGATGATTACAAGTTTTCTTGTTTATTTGATCAACTTTAGGAACTAGTGCCTTTAATTTAAAACATCGAAGTCAATATACGTTCTTTCCTTTTTTACTTTTGTGCGTATCGTGGCTCTCTTAATGTTGTCGCTGGGATAATGTAAATATAACAATACATCAAAGTGGGGAACAAAACAATAAACAAAAGAAGCCAGATGTATAGCCATGTGAAATGAATGTTGATTTTGATAATAAAATGGTGATAATATGTATACCCATTTTTAATCTTCATGCGTTTTAAGCCACACCGTTACATATAATGGCAAATGCATTCAGGGAGCTGATACTACTCAGACATGAATTACAATTCAGTAACCAGGTCCTGACTTCATC